CGACGGCGTTGGGCGCGTAAATCGAAAAAAGGCGCAAAAAACAAATTGAGCTCGACTCGAGCACGAATCGCTGTCGACAAACTTGGAAATGTGGAGTTTTAATCCGAAAACTTTTCTTTGCCCAAAACCCAGTAATAATGGATTTTTGAAGACTTTTAGTAATATTAAGCAGCAACTTCAGGCTTTTTACATAAGATATCACTATCCCACACTGAACCTAACACTAACCCTTACCCTAACCCTAACTCTTATCTTAACACTTACCCCGAACCCTTACCCTAACCCTAAACCTAACACTAACCCTAAAAGTTACCCTAACCCTTACCCTAATCCTGACCCTAACCCTTACCCTAATACTAACACCTAACCCTAACCCTTACCATAACCCTTACTCTAACCCTAACCTCTGACCCTAACCATAACCCTAATCCTAACCCCTAACATTTACTCTAACCCTAATCACGCTTAAATCGAGCTCGGATCGAGCTCGAATCGCTGTCGACAAACCTGGAAATGTGGAGTTTTGTTCCGCCACTACCAAGGAAACTCCTGCCAAAAACATTTTGCTATGTTAAAGGTGGCAATTTGTAAGCGTGCGTCTACAAATGTGTGTTACGCACCGCTATCTAAACACAGGTTCTTCAAAGGCATTACCAATTACCCTTGCCGAATAAAGGGACAGTTACTGAAAATGTTTTTTGGAATTGGCGCAGGCTTATCGCAATTTCGAGTGATTTGCATAACTCTGCGGCCGATCCCCTTCTTCTTTGTTATCTTCCGTGGTCATTCTCGCATATATCTCTTACGTTTTGCCCCGCGCTCGCTTGCAAGAACCATGACAAATACTAAATGTATGTTAAGGGCGTGAACGTTGTCCACTTACTATACATGAAAGAGGGAATAGGTTCTTCGAAATAATCAAGTTGTACTTGTGTATGTTTCAGTTGCTGACAGCATCCCGTGCTCAGACAAAATGAAAAGAAGTGAGAAAATAAGAAAGCTACACTAGACAATATAGGCGAGACGAACCGTTAGATCGTTCGCGTGTGAGGGGCTGAGCCACTGTTTGTTTGTGGGTGGCATGGGACTGAAAAGCCACGGGGAACTGTGTGCGGAAGGGGGGATAGGTTGATCTTAGGGTGGCTGGGTAAGCGGTCGTTGATGCGTGATTAGGACAGGGCACGGTAAGTCTTGATCTTAACC